ATAAATACAAAACAGAAACAGACTCACAGACATAGAATACAAACTTGTGGTTGCTGGTGGGGGAGGTACAGACTGGGATTTCAAAATTTGTAGATACTGACAAGCATATGCAGAATAGATAAACAAGATTATATGGTATAGCACAGGAATATACAAGATCTTGTGGTAGCTCACAGTGAAAACAAATGTGACAATGAATATGTATGTTCATGTACAACTGAAAAATTGTGCTCTACACTGGAATTTGACACAACATTGTAAAATGACTATAACTCAATAAAAAAAAGCATTTTGTCAACTTTAAGGCTGCCCTTCTGCCAGTTAAACTCCCGTCACTTCCCTCTACCCAGGTTTCTGACCCAGAATCTGCCTCTAGGTGAAATCTGTATGGCTTTGCACACACATTTAGGTCTTGGTAATGACCCTTGTGACAACACAGCATTTCCAGAGGAGCTCCAGTTGGGTGGGGGGTGAGAGGCAGAGGTCATGTCTGCAGTTCCTCCAAACTCCCAGATCCTGGAGCCAGGCCTGGCACATAGGTCAGCAGACACCAGAATAAATAAATGCATGTTATTGGCAGCTCCAAGCAGTTTTCAGAACAGTATCCCGTGTGGGCAGGGCAGGATCCCCGCACCACCCAGGGAAGGCAAGGACTCACGACAGGGGCATTGCGGAAGCCCTTAATGGCCTGGAAGACTCCACCGCCGATAACACCCATAGTGAAGGCTCCACCGCAATCATCCACAATTCGCCATGGGCTGCAAGCGGGAAGGGGAGGATGGGGTTAATGTGAGCCCTCCCCCATGCCATGTCACAAGGACTCTTTCCGACTGGAAGAAACCACTTCACCCAAATGGGAAATAGCACTTCAAGAGATTACTTTCCCTCCATTTAGGCAGGAAATAGTGCGGAAGAGGCAAAGTCTTTCCCCTGTCCGCCCCTCCCCTTCACAGCCAACCAAGAAAACAGCCAACTGCTTTACTACTATCAAAGATTAAATGAATTGATAACTAGCAAAGAGTTGGCACATTTAAATAAGCGCTACAGAAGTGTTAACAAGTTAGCACGGTTACTAAAGCAGGATGGGGTCGCACCCCCTTCTCCGACAATGAACACGTCCAACCGAGCCCCGCCCTCTTCCCTTTTTCAACCCCCCACACAACTGGGAAAAACCAAGCGCTGACAGTGGGGAGGATCCAGCACCCGCTCCTTGCCCACAACTGGCTCGCTTGGGCCCCGCCTCCATTAACTGAAACGACCTGGGAAAAACCACGCGCCGTAATCCTGGGGGTTTCCGCTAGATGAACCAACCCCCAGCTGGAATGGATTCGACCAACGTGTCTCTTTTCGTTAACAAAGAGGGACTGGGAGGTACGAAGTCACGGGAAATGTGGAGTGGTTCCTGCTGCACCGCACCTTCTCCTTCAGGCACACAATTGTGGCCCCCTTTTAACGGAGCCCGAATAGGAGGAACCAAGTGGAGGGGAGCAGAAGACAACAAACGTCTTAAGACCCTCCCGAGTCTGGGCTGTGGCGCTCTGTGGCCGATGCCTCCACCTCCCGCCTCCCACTGCTGGCCGTAGCGCCGCAGCAACAGTCCCGAGGCCTGGGCCCCTCGCCGTACCAAGGCTCCCGAGCGTACTCCTCCATGGCGCCGGCGTCCGGCCTCGCGGTCTGGCTAAACCCCGGCCAAGCCACGCCCCCGCCGTAAACGCATACAAGCGCCCGAGCTTTCTGTCTATTCCAAGGCAATGATTGGGTCGTTTCTCCAGACGTCGGAGCAAGGCGCACTCTGATTGGCCATCCGGGTTTGCGTCATCTGATCACTGCAGCGTGAGCGTCGCACAGTTGCCTCAAGGCTCGGGGTGAGAGGACGTCATTCTGTGCTTTGAGAGAAGAAAGTCGTGTGGTCCTGGGGATCATAGAGGCGACTAGAAAGAGGCGACCGGTCTGACAGCCTTCCACTACCCGTGTGACTATATTGGTAATGTCCGGGGTGGGCGCATTTTTTGGAGCTGAAAGAGGTGCTGCACTATACTCCCCCATCCCAGCCCTTTGGTTCCTCCCACCCGGCAGTCTTTGGGGAATGTTGGGTGAGCCCATTTCTGGGGCACGGGGGAGCCGCGCTTGGCCCCTTCGGGGATGGGCGGGGCCTGGGCCGGGGCCTGGGAGAGGAACCCGGCGCTGGAGTGTTGGCCTCGAGAGAAGGGTTGGTGAGAGTTTTAGTGATTTTACTGTTTATCCCTTACATCTTTTCGTAGGTAGATTTCTGTTGCCCAGCTCCTGGTGCGCATGGGTAGGTGGGAGTCTAGATGAGTATATGCTGGGGGAGGCGCTTGGTTACAAAATCCAGATTCAGATCCTCATCTGAGGTATTTTTTAGTCTGTCTTTTCCTAGGTCTGTCTGCTACCCGCTATGCCTCTACCCGTTGCGCTGCAGACCCGTTTGGCCAAGAGAGGCATCCTCAAACATCTGGAGCCCGGTGAGAGAGCTAAAAGCATATGGGCCTACCATGTAGCCAGGCTTGACAGGCACTTTGTTGTTGATTCTGCCACTTGATACCTAGCACGGGCCTACTGTACACCAAGCAGTGAGGTGGCAGACATTTCATTGTTAACAATATGTATTCCTGACACCCATTCCTACTGCATGCACAGGGGGTGGTGGGGTGGGCAGATGTGGGGGATGGGAAGGGGAGGTGGAGGGGGTTGGAATAGACACTTCATCCTTAATACTGACAGCTGATGCCTATTTTGGGTCTTCTGTATCCCAAGTTTAATCCATCAGTCAAGTCACTGAAAGTAGTTACAAAGCATCTAATAGTAAGGATAGTAGTGCTAAGCTAGTCTCTAATGCAGCCTCCTGTGGGCCAAGCACAATGTCAGGATGCTGGTATTTTGTTTTTTACCATACTAAAAGATAACATTATTTCAGACCTACTGAGGCGCCAGGCAGTATGCTGGTGGTATATACTTTATTGTTCACCATATCCATAGCTGACACGTATTTTGGGTCTACTAAGTGTCTGGCCTACACTTATGGTTAACAGTATATAAAATGATGATAGGATTTATCATTTAAGCCTACTGTTCTGCTGTTGCTAGTATTTATACCTTATTGTCAATTATAGTAAAAACTGGTATCTCTGTAAAAATATAGTAAAAACTGGGGTGAGGTGTCCTCAGCATTGAAAACTCATCTTATTTACACTTTATTGATAAGTGGCATCTATTACAAGCCTGTTGTGTGCCAGGGATAGATCTTTGGTTAATAATACTGATAATGATCATTAATATTTATTTTAAGCCTATTGAGTATCAGGCTCTCTGCTGATAGTATATATCTTACTAACAATACTGTGATCACAGCTGGTATCTGTTTTGGGCCTATTGTATGACAGGCACTGTGCTGTTGCTGACATACACATTTCATTGTTAGCTATTTCCACAGCTGGAATCTGTGACAGGTGTACTGAGGTCCAGGTACTCATACACCTTTTTATTTCTGTTGCTAGTAACTGACAACTGTCGTAGGCCTCAAGAACTAGATTCAGAGCAGTATTTGGATAAATCCCTTGCTATCCAAACTTGCTACTCAATATATGGGCATCAGAAACCCCATATTTGCCAAGCTTGGGAGCTGAACAGATCTGGACATATTTTTAGATAAACCCCTTGCTGTTCAAACTAATTTTATCCTAATAGATTTGGGTAGTGTGGTGTCACATGCTTTCTGAACTCAGGAACTGAATAAATATGGATACATTTTAAAATGAATCCCTATCTAAACTCTGAAACCAGGTCAGTTCGGGTAACAGTATGTCATATTTAATCTGAATCCAGAAACAAAACAGATTTAGGTACATTTTCTGGTAAATCTCAATATTCAGCTACTTAGATTTGGAATATGAGCAATCTTTGCCAGGGCACGTGAGACCTGGCACACACACGTGGTCCATGTGAATGTCAGTGTGTCTTCTCCAGGACCTGACTTCAGGATGAGAATCCCCTTGGTCCTTACTGGTCTCCTCCTCCCACCTCCCTGCCCTTGTCCTGCCAGAACCAGAGGAAGAGATCATTGCTGAGGACTATGATGATGATCCTGTGGATTATGAGGCCACCCGGTTGGAAGGCCTGCCACCAAGCTGGTACAAGGTGTTTGACCCTTCCTGGTGAGCCTGGGGACATGGTGGGGGTAGGGAGAGGTGACTTCTGACTTCACCTTTTCTGTGTTATCCCTGGCTTGGGCTAAATAGGGGCCAGAGGGGAAGAGAGCTGGGAGTCCTCCCTGTGGGGTCTTGACATGGGGCTGGTAAGGCAGAGACTGGGGAGACAGGAGCTAAGGCTACAAAGAGAGAACACTTGTACTGACATTCCTTCCCTCCCTCCCACTGCCCTGCAGCGGGCTCCCTTACTACTGGAATGTGGACACAGACCTTGTGTCCTGGCTCTCCCCACATGACCCCAACTCCGTCGTTACCAAATCTGCCAAGAAGCTCAGGAGCAGTAATGCAGGTGAGTTGGTAGATCCAGGGGTGCCTCAAGTGCTTCTAGCAGTTCTCCAAGAGGGGGTCAGGTAAAGATAGTGGATCAAGGAGGGTCAGGGGAGACAGGCAGGCCCAGGCCCAGGCCCAGGCAAGGGAGGCTGTTGAAGGCAGAGGCTACTGGGTCCTGAGATGGGAAGAGTTCAAGGCTTACATGCCCCCAGATGCTGAGGAGAAGTTGGATCGGAACCATGAGAAATCGGACCGGGGCCATGAGAAATCGGACCGAAGTCATGAGAAGTCAGAACGGGGCCATGAGAAGTCAGAACGGGGCCATGAGAAGTCTGACAGAGACCGAGAGCGTGGTTATGACAAGGTTGACAGAGAGAGAGAGCGGGACAGGGATCGGGACCGGGACCGCGGATATGACAAGTCAGACCGGGAAGAGGTCAAAGAACGACGCCACCATCGCCGGGAGGAACTGGCTCCCTACTCTAAGAGCAAGAAGGGTAAGCTGGGGTGAGGCAAGGGAGGCGCCAGCAGTGCCTGATGGAAGGAAACCTTCACTGGGGTGCCTGAGCCTAGCGCCTGGGAGAAAGCGCCATGGGCTGTGGCAGCCGTGGGCTCCATTTCTTCCTGGGGTGGGGGATCTCAGTGATCAGGGGCTCCTCATGCCTCCATTGAAGACCTCCTTCTGTCACCTCCTCCACAGTGGCAAGCCGGAAGGATGACGAATTAGACCCCATGGACCCCAGCTCGTACTCAGACGCACCTCGGTAAGTGACTACCCCTCAAGCACCCTCCTCTTTCCTCATGATTCACTGCACCAGTAACCGTTCTTTCTTCCTATCTCCTTTCCCCCTTTGTCAGTTGGGGGGGGGGTGGAGGGTAGGAGGGTGCCTAGCACATTACACGTTTCCACCTTGATCCTCTTTCACCCCCAGGGGCACGTGGTCAACAGGACTCCCCAAGAGGAATGAGGCCAAGACAGGTGCAGACACGACAGCAGCCGGGCCCCTCTTCCAGCAGCGCCCCTACCCATCCCCGGGGGCTGTGCTCCGGGCCAATGCTGAGGCCTCCCGAACCAAGCAGCAGGACTGAGCCTTCGCCGGCCGCCCCCACACCTTCCCCCCAGGTTTTTAATAAAAGTTTTGCCTGAGAGGCCTGAGTGCTTCCTTCTCTGGTACTTTTTGAGACTTCCCAACCCAAACCAGCAAGATGCAAAACACATTTTATTTACAAAAACTCACCTAAGAAATAAGGGGGGAGGTTTGGCAGAGACAAGAGGGTGACAGGGGCTGGAGGCCGAGGTGGGTGGGTCCCATCTGGGCCCTCATCACCAGAGAGTTTAGTTGTGTCAGCCCTGCGTGGGAGAGGGGGTGGTGGGGGCAGGGGATTCAGTGTCTACCTCTCCCCAGCACTAATACTGATCAGAGTTTGGTCCTGGCTGGGCCAGGGCAAGAAGGGAGAGCGAGGCCAGGCCAGCGTCTTCCATCCCAGCGGCTAGGAACCCTTCACCTTGGTGAGCAACCTGTGATGGGAATGGGGAGGAAAGAAAAACAGAAAACTGGGGTAGGCTGGCAGGCGGGCATCCTGAGCAAGCGAGGGTGGCGGCAGTGAGGCTGGTAGTCCCAGGGTTAGTAATGGAGCCCACACAGAGAGAGGGGGTCCCCCGCGTCAGAAAGCTACACGTGGACTAAATAAATACAACATCTTTATTTGGCATTGGGTATCCTGACATTTGTTCATTACAGTTCCTTAAAAAACAAACCAAAAAATCAGAACAAATTAATCAAAAATAAAGATCCAACGCCCCTATGTACATATAGCAAAGATAGCCCAGGCGTTTCCCATGCGCAAGCGCGCGGGCACACACAGGCACACGCGCGCGCACACACACAACACGCACACAACACACACACACACACACACATCCTGGGAGACAGTTAAGGGGTTAATAAGCTTTGGGGAGTGCAGGGGGCAGGTCCCACATTTCAGCAATTTAAAGACACCCCCGCATGAAGTAAGGGTGCCTCAAACAGCCAATGGGGTACCATGAGTGTGGTTGGCAGCTTTATTTTTCCTCGCAGGATGTCTTAGAAAATAAACCTGCATCCAGCAACTGACAGTGTCTTAGATTCTATGAGATTAGGCCACGTCAAGGACCTCCCTTCCCCATTTTCCCTACACCCTGGATCATTCACCTGATTACACCACAAACCTCCGAACCACTAAAAATCAAATAGCCCCTAACTGCACCCTCCCCCTGAATGGGCTGATACAAAAATCTCAGCTCTCGCTTCCCATCCCTCCTCTCTCCCTGGGCGCTCACAAGAGGCCCATTTTCAGGTCCTTATGTCAGGGAAGCTGCCCCAAGGCCACAAAAAGACTGAGCTGCTAACATGATCTGGTATGGTCGTCAGGGAGAGAAAGCCTCAAGCTATGGGAAACGGAACCCCACAGGGAGGCATCAGTCATTACTGAAGAGCTGTAGGATTTTTGTCCAATTTGTCCCTGCAAAGGTATAGGGATTACTGGGAGGGGCTCTCCCAGGCATGAGAGACAGGACACCTCCGGCTGAAGGGGGCAGACGTAAAAGGCCTTGAATGACGATGCTCCCCCGACCTGGTCCCCAAAGGGGTTAGACTGGGACACAGGAGGCGGTTCTAAAAACCCCTGGCTATGAGGAAGGGTTCCTGTGACGCCCTGCCCTAGTCCCATACCCTTCCAGAAGTCTCAATGACCTGGAAGAAAAGACCCTTCCAACCCCAGAGGAGCCAGGCCCCAGTGGCAACTGGTCCTGCAGATGCCCAATACCCTCCACCCGGCGCCCCTCCCTGACTCCCCCCACCGCCGCCAGCCCTCACTTCACCAGCACTGACTTTGGCAGAAAGGGTTCCGTGCTGAGGTCTCCATGGTGGGAAGACAGCTGTGGTGGTGGCGGCTGCCCGGGAGGCTGCTGGTGAGTGCAGGGCCCGGAGGCAGACCCGGAGGCGGAAGCTATGGCTTTGGCTGCACCTCGGGGAAGGCTGTAGAGGTAGACCGCACCGATGACCAGCCCGGCGCCAAGGGCAAACAAGGGGTCCACATGGAAGCCAAAGAGGCGGATGGAGGCAACAGTGGACAGCACGATGGACAAGGAGGTGGCAAAGCCCTTGAGGATGTTGTCGGCATACTTAACGACAACAGCCACCAGTAGCCCGCCGAAGGCCTGATTGAGCACCACGCCCCAGACAGCAGGCGTGTACCCGAAAAAGAAACCGCGGCGGGCCACGGCAGTGCCCTCGGCCCACCAGAGCCCCACCAGGCCCAGCGCTGTGCCAAAGAGGCCCAGCTGCAGGTTGCGCAGCCACACGGAGCCTGAGCTGCCTTTGAGGATCTTCTCGAAGTAGACACCTGCAAAGCCCGAGGAGAGACAGGAGGCCACGACAGCCGCTAGGCCGGCCCCAGGGTTCTGATCCAGTGGCCGTGGGCCCCCGCCACCAGCTTGTTGTGCCTGGACAATGGCGACGCCAGTGAAGAGGAGCAGCAGGGAGGCCCACTGCAGCCGGGAAAGACTGCGGTTCAGCATGAGCACGGAGAACAGTGCTGTGGTCAGGATCTTCAGCTGGTACGTCACCTGTGGGTGGTATGTGGAAGGCACTGAGGGCTGTTCCCGACTCCCAGTGTGTGCACGTGGGGGGCGGCACCTGCTGTGGACCCCTGGGGCACAAGGGAGGGAAATGGTAGGGTAGATGCCAATAAAGGCAGCAAAGATATCCAGCCACTGGCCACTGACTGCGATGCAGCTAAGTAGCTCTGAGATGCCTCCCAGAAAGTACACAGGAGGATGGCTGTGTGAGGAAGTCCTGGGCCACACCCAAGTCCACATCCCAACCCCGTGTCCTAGCTGTGTGATGAGGGACAAAACTCCTGTCCTGTCTGAGCCCTGACATTATCATCTGTGAATGAGACTGATGTATGTGAAGCACCTCACACAGCAGGTAATGAATCAATGGTAAACATCCTGATGAGGGAGGTCTTGATAAAAGTGTTTATACAAATGAATCAGCCATGAAATCACGTCAGTAAACATTTACATAGAACTTACTATGTGCCAGGTGTGGGTCTCAGCACCTCGCGAGTTCATTTATTTAATCCTCAAGTATGAAGTGGGCACTATTGTAACGTCCGATTTAAAGATGAGACAACTAAGGCACAGAGAGGTTAAGTGACTTGCCCAATAGCACACAGCTAGAAAGTAGCAGAGCTGGGGTTTGAACCAAGGCAGCCTGGCCCCAGAATCCAGGCTTTCTAACCATCTTATAAGGCTGCCTGTAAACAGCCTAAAGCTTATTTATTCATCACCAACCAAGGGTTCTTCCCAGGTATTATTTCTTTTAATCATCCCAGCATCCCAGTGAGTAGCTACTGTTCCTGTTCCCGTTCCCAGTCTCACAGATGAGAAAACTGAAGTTGAGGAAGATCCAAGGACATCCTGAAGGAGACACAGCCCCTACTTTTTGTAACCCTCTATCCCCCAAATCCCATACTCCCCACCCCAGCCTGTTCCTCTGGGGCCATGCAGGGCTTAGGGCTCACCTGGAAAGTGGCAGCTGGCAGGTTGGAGATGGCAACGTACTGGAGGTTATTCTGCAAGGTGTAGATGAGAGAGGGCACTGCGAGCTTGAGTGTGTCCACATACTGCACCAGGACAGCCTCGTGGAGGAAAAGAACCAAGTGCTTCACGTTACCTAGGTGGATGGAGGAGAGCCCTTTTTAGCACTGGCTACCAAAGGCAGGGATCCACTGAGGGCCAGGAACAGGCCTGGTCCTGTGTCTCCCCACCACACTGACTCCCTGAGGGCTAGGGTGAGGTCTGTGCTCTCTACCTCCCTGGCAAGCACTCAATACTCATTTCTCTAGTGAAATAATCCATGTTAACTAGGAGCCTGTGAATTGGAGGCTCTAGGAATGTGGGTGGAAGGCTGTTCACCAAACAGAGTGGAAGTTTTAGACTTGACTTTTAGACTTATCTAGTTACTTTCTGGCCTGAGGGCAGGGGCCATCTCCCACTTGGCCGCATCTTTCTGTCAGCACCCTCTACATCAAGCATTTGCCCCTGTCACATGGCAGAATGCAGGCTAGGCTATTGAACAGAAAGTCTGGTTGGGACCTGCTCCAACTGACAAATGAGAACATTTTCCTGTAGAAAAAGACCTTTGCAGAATGCACCCCACTTTTTTGCAATTCATCTTTTAAGGCTCAGCTGAGTGTCCCTTCTCAGGGAAAAACCCCACAACCACTGCACAAGGTTATCACAGGAACTCCTGCTGATGCTCGTTCACAAAACCCTGTCCTTGCCCTTCGTGGCATTAATCCCAGGAGTAATTATCAATCTCTAATAACCTCTTATCCAAATTCCCTGGACTCAGGGGTTTGGGTGTTCAAAAATGTCCAGTGTTTTAAAGGTAACAGGGTATATATATTTCATAAAAGACACCCCACATATATGGGGCTGCCCATCATAATCAAGCACATTCGTCTCTCTGCAGTGACTCGTTATGTCGTCACACCAAATGAGAAAATCAAAAAACGCAAATGTACAAACAGCCCCGCATCACATCAAGCCAAGTTTAACCACCAAACTAATTCAAGGGAAAAAAAAAACTGGGGGAGAGGGGGTTGAAACTGCAGATGTGATGAAAGCATACGATTAATCTGGAGCTATTTGTTTCTCCCCAACCGCAATATCAGCCCTATCAGGGCAAGATGTACATCTGCATCGCTAACACGTCCGCCTCCCCAGCCAGAACAGGGCATGCCACACGGTGTTCACGTGAACTTGCTCAGAATCAGTCAAGAACAGAGCAGGTGGGTTCCTTAACTGCTGCCTCCCAGGGCTCTGGAGCTAATGAGGGGGTGAGAACGTTTTCTTCAGCATAAATGTTGAGGGCAGAGCGCCAGGCAAGGCCTTCACAGAGAAATGATTAGGCAACATTTTAAAGAACACCTCTGGGGAGGTGTTTAGATTAGGAAATAAATTCAACTTACATGAAATATAGAGGACAGAAGAACATGTTAAATGAGACCACCGGGAGGTAGTCAGCAAAATCCAGGCTACTCAAAGTCTACAAGATAAACCACCTAATTTCTTCAACAAATTAACTGCAGAAAGGAAAAAAAACGAGTTCAGGGCAACCTAGAGGTGAGCAGGCATAGAAGACACTAAGCAGTTACAAAACACTGACCTTCTATAAATCTGATTCAAACATAAGTTTTTAAACTTTCACGACATCTGAGAAATCATTATAACTTTGAACACTGGCTGGATATTTAATTATTTTATTAACTTTAAAAATTATTATTAATTTTTTGATTCATGATTTCTAGGTATTGCAGTCATTTTTCAAATGTACCAAAATATTTATTCAAGATAATAAGGAGGAATTTACTTCAAAATAATACTTCATGGGGGACCCACTTCAATATAATAAGGTAGGGGAGGAGGTAAACAGACACACAGATTGATAGTGAGTGGATAATCACTGATACTGTTTAATGGCTAACGACCATGAGTTGATAACTGTTGAATCTGGGTGATGGGACATGGATATTTTACGATTTCATTATTTTCTCCGATTTTGTGTTTGAAATTCTCTATAGTGAAAAGTTAAAGAGAAATAAATAACTCACCATTGTGAGGGTCACCTGCTACCTTATGGGCACAGACTGTCTCACTCCTATAGTGTTCAGTGGCCAGCTCTCGGGGAGTTAGGGGTATAAAAATGTGGATGCAGCTACTCAGAGTTGGAGGTACAAGGCAGCCTATCTGCACTTAACGCCATCCCCAGGCAGTTTCACAGACACAGAGATACTCTCCCAACAAACCCTCCATGTGGGTGTGGGTATACACACACATACGGTCCCACCCACCGACTCCAATGCAGCCCCCCTCCCTGGCTCGTACCCCTCTTCTGTGCGAAGAGCAGCAGCAGGCAGGTGAGACCTTTGAGCACTTCGGCCATGACCACAGCAGTGGTGGCAAAGAAGCGGTCCCCAGGCAACGTGCGGGCGTAGCGGATACTGAGGATGAGGGAGGCATTCTGGACCACCAGCACGGCTAGGGATATGTATTTGAGGCGCCGGTGAGCTGTGGGGAATGGAAGGACCAAGGGGGAAGAAGGGGTCAGAAGCTGCTGGGGCATAGCCACACCACCACCTTCCCCTCTCCTTTCTCAACCAGGATACTCCTAGCCACCACTATTTCCTCCTTCTGCCTGCCTAGCCTGATCCAGTGTGGGTCTGACCCCTGCCAGCTTTCACTGCCTCAGCCACAGGCAGGAAGAGCCAGAAAGGGAGAAGTGGGCCTCGCCCTGTCCAGCCCATACCTGGAATCCTTGCTGAGGTGTCAGGAAATGGGTGGGTAGGCCCTGGACACCCACCTCAGCCCTCTCTCTCCTGCCCCTGAATCTGAAGCAACCCTCTCCTGGACAGAATACCAACTACATCCTTCATATTTATTAAGTGCTTACTGTGTGCCTATCATTGGAATAAGGGATTTATATGGATTACTTCAACAGACCCCTACATGGCTCTGATCTCTGAAGGAACTATGAAGATTCTCATTTGATGGATGAATAAACCAAAGACGTATGAAATGATGCTTCTGTTTAATGAAGGATTGTCCTATGTGAAGAATAATACCCCAGAACAAAGAATGCAACCACTGTATAAGGCATGTCCATCCCCTAAGGAACTGCTTTTCTCCCATTCCATTCCCTCACATTCAAAATAGTCTCTCCAATCCCTCCCTCCTATGAGGACTGATTCCTCCCTGACCCAGAATGGTCTAACGAACGTAAGAAATGATTCCTTCATTATCCCAAGGATTGAACCCCATATAGTAAAGGGTTATTCCATTAAGAATGATCTGGGTCCCTTAACAATACAGGAGGTATTTTCCTGTACACTATATGGTCCAATCGTCCTCCCACCACCGCATACCCCTACCTCCAGCCAAGGAATTATTCCTTGTCCTACTCAAACTCACAATGCACTCTCCCCACTATAAGAAAGGGCCTGGAACCCTCAGGACGTCCTTTCTCTGCCATATAAGGAAGGACCCTCCCACTGCAACGTACAACGAACTCTACTTCCATTACAAAGGAACCCCCAGAACAGTCTTCTCCCCATATAATGGACATCGTTATCCTCAAAATGTACTAAGTCATATAAGGAAGAACTCGCCCCACCCTAACACACAATAGCCTCTGTCCCTTTATAAGGAAGAAACCACCACCCTCAGAATAGCCTCTCCCTTCTATAAGGAAGAACTCTCCCACTCTCAGAATGGTCTCTTTCTTCTATAAGGACGGACACGCCACCACACACACACTCAGAATGGTCTTAGTGGTCTTAGCCTTCCCAAAAGGAAATACCCTCCTCCGACTGAGAATGGTTTCTACTCTCCATATGCAGAAGGGATCTCCCCATCACCCTCAGAATGGTCTCTTCCCTGCCTCCAACACACACGTCCTCCCCACTACCCTCTACCACACACACACATAGGTTGGTCCATACGGGATGCTCCCTCTCGCCTCAGTGAGGAACCTTTCTGATCCTGCAGTGACCCCGACCCCTGGCCCGTCGCCGACTGCTCAGCCACACCCTGTCTCACCCGCACTCGCGGTCCCAGGTTCCAACGCCCCTGCGGAGACCGTCCCTGGCCCGGCCGCCGCGGTGGAACCACCAGACCCAACCGCTGCCATGTTGGCATCTGCCTGGCCCGTCCCCTCGGCAACAGGAGGCCACTTCCGTGTCCGTCACTTCCGCTTCCGGACCCCCAGGGTTGGGGTGGGGCGAGCGAGAAGCCGATCCTAGCAGCGGCTTTCCTCGTCCAGTCCCCAATGCCAGTCTAAACGCGGCCTCGGGAATTTTCAAATTCCGTTGCTGTCTGGAAACCGGGCAAGCAGCCAGCGTAGTCTCCCAGAGTCCTTACAGAGCCTCTGGCCGGCTCCCGTTACCAACTCCGTCCTCGTCTTCTTCGACCCCGCTCTCTGTATCACCCGCCCATCCTGTCTCCTCCTCCCATTGGTTCTACTGTCCCTCTTCTCTCTCGGCTCTTTATTGCAGCCTTTTGATGCCACCGCCCTTTCTACATCAAAACTCCTAGGTGCTTCTAGGTTGGACAGAAATTCCTCCTTACCTTCTCCCGGGAAGGCCCCGCCCCCTGGAGAGCCCGCGGGCATCTTAAAGGGTAGTGAGACTTTTGAGAGGGCGGGGCAGGTGAGGGTCAGGAAGGTATGCAGGGTAGTTGAACATATACTGGTGAAAAGGCACCAGAGAGTTGAAACAGGAGTCACCTTTGAAGATGGAAAAGTGAGAGGGGGACAGCTAAGACAGCAGGCAAGAGGCTTACCAGGTTAGCTTTTGAAAGCAAGGCAAGAGAGGGTACAGCTGAGGTCGGGACAAGGGAAGCCAAGATAGAATAGGGCAGGGCAGGTAAGTCAGGAGTTGAGAAGTAGAGATGAGAGGGATGAGCAGGTAAGAAGACAAGGGAGAAGTGAAAAGGTAGGGGCAAAACAGGTGACTACACCCTGGAAGTTATTAGAATACAAGGAAGGGCTAGGAAGATGCCATGTCAGCGCTCAACCCCTATCGTGCCCTCACCAGTGCCCTGAAATGGCTTTTCTTCTCCCCTGGGGTTGGAGGACAGAAGCAGTATTTTTTTCTGCCTCTGAGCTGACCATCTTTGATTTCAGGTGTGTCCCAGACATCTTCAAGGTCTACAGCATCTCCAAATAAGCACTCCTGCACATACTGGGTGCTACAGAAGAGCTGATGGCAAAATCAACAGTTTTTCTTTGTGGTCCTGCTTAAACGAACCCGTAAGAGATCTTTAGGATGGCACCACGAGACAGGCTTCCTGTGGGCAGAGTTGAAATCCAATCCCTCTCCCTCTTGGCTTAGCATTCAGTAGATGCTCCACGAATGCCTCACTGCATCTACAAATGGCCAGTCGCTTCTGATTCTATTACGTTTATTAAATAGTGGGTTTCCACACATGGCTTTTTAAATAATCCAGGCAGGGGAAGGAGGGAGAGGAAGATACAGTTGGAGCTCCCCTCCCCAATACATAAGTATTTACATTTCAGCAACTGGACAATCCTGGCTCAGAAGGAGGCAGCAAGAATCCAAAAAAGGGAGAGGGTGGGGCCCCAGGAGAACAAACAATAAGACTTATTTCCCCCCCAGCCCCCCCAAAAATCCACCCCATCCTAGTGGACTCTAGTAGTGTCCATCTCCCATTCCTTCCCAAATAATTAAAGTAGGGTTCTCCTCACCAGAATAAGAGCACTTGGGATAACAGAGTAGGTCCCCTCACCAAAAAAAAAAAAAAAAAGAATAAAGGAAAGTAAAAAGAGCCCTGGGATAACAATAGGGCATTACCTCTCCCAGAACAAGCAATCCTGGGCTGAGGTAGGCAAGCAGCTTGACTGAATATGGGACCCTAGGCTATGGGAAAGGGTTCCTTTGCTAAAATAAGAGCTGCTGGGTGGGGTATTGGAAGGAAAGCACCCTTGCCCAAGTTAAGAGCATTTGAACTAAGTTTGTGTGGTGGCAGCAGGAGATGCCAGTATATGGGGTTACTACTCATCAGAATAAGAGTCCTGGGGGCTCAGAATGGAAATAACTTCAACCAAATAAACATCCTTAGCAAAATGAGAAGCAAGGAAGGACCCCCTCCAGAATAAGAGAGCATACGTTCTGGGAGGAAGGCTCCTTAACAGGATTGGGATGGGGACTGGGAAAACTTGGCTTATGTCTTCTGACCCCTGATCCCCAATCTCTGACCCTAGTTAACACTGGATTTTTAATGACCTGTAAAACCAGATCAACAGATACCCATCTATCCCTGTGGCATGACCATAACCATGGGATGGCTATTCCAACTAGTGGGGACCCTGGCCAGGACTAGGGCAGTAGGGACCAAGCCAAAGGGGTGGAACCCCCTTTGGGGGTATTGAGGGGTGCATCCTCCGCTGGTGGTGTCTGCATCCACGGGTCCAGCAGAATCTCCTCCAGTGAGGGTCGGGCAGAGGGTTTGGGAGCCAGGCACCGGCGGATTAGGGCACAACAATCTGCAGATCAGAAGCACACAGGAGATTAGCAGTCACTTGGGGTACTGGTCCCTGGAGGGATGGAGACTGGTGGTCTAGAGCCAGTGAGAGGCTTACCTGGCGAGACATGGGCAGGGAAGTGGAGCTCAGCCTCCAGAATCTCCTGATCTCTCTCAAAGGGAATGTCCCCACATACCATGTCATACAGGAGAATACCCAGTGACCAGACAGTGGCTGGGAGTGCATGGTACTGGTGACGAGAGATCCACTCTGGGGGGCTGTACACCCGTGTCCCTGCATGCAAGCCAGAGGTTAGAGCATTCTCTGATAATGCCCTTCTCCCACCCTACCCTCCCCAGGAAATGTGGTCCCTTCACTAGGATGAAGCAAACTCACTATATAAGAGTCCCCTCAACCAGAATAGAAGCTCTTTAAATATAACAGCAGGGTCTCACCACCAGAAAAAGAGCACTTAAGATAACAGCAGAGTCCCCTCAACAAAGTAAAAGCACTTAAAAGTTATAGTAGGTTATAGTTTTGGTAAAAACTACCAAAAAAAGAAGACTCAGGATAATAGTAAGATCCCCTCAACAGAATAAGATCCCAAAACAAGATCAGGGTACTGTCAGAAGATGGACTTTACTGATGGGACTCTACTAGAGGGCAAGGCTTGAAAGTCTAATATTAAAAACCAAGAACCTTATAGAGGTGCACTATAGATCAAGGGTTACAGGATACCTCAGCTCTGGGGGCCAAAGATCAAGAGGCCAAAAAGGCAAATGGTGAAATCTCTCCACAGAGATTTAGGAAAGCCTTACCATCAAAGTCAGTGTAGGGTTCATCGTGAAGCAGGGCGCCAGAACCAAAATCGATGAGTTTGGCACAGCCCCGGCGGAGGTCCATCAGGATGTTCTCATCCTTGATGTCACGATGGACAACTCCACGGGCATGGCAGTGTCGAACAGCTGCCACTACCTGGGCAAAGAGGCAGCGGCTTCGACCTTCGCCCAACGGGCCCTGCTCTGTGATGTAGTCAAAGAGATCCTGGGCGGGCAGAGGCCGCTCAAGGACCAGCATGAAGCCCTCGGGTGTCTCAAACCAGTCAAGCAGGCGGATCACACCAGGGTGTCCACCACCTGCACCCACCTTCCATAGCAGTGCCACTTCCAGTGGGCATGTGCCTGAGTCTGACTGTTAGGGGAAGCAGGGAGAGAAAAGAGAACACAGACGTCAGGCTGGCAACTTTTGACTTCCCACCTGAACTTAAATCATAGTCCCCCTTCAGCCTCCTGACTGTGTGACCTTGAGCAATCCACCTCCTTCTCTGGGCCTGTTTCCTCACCTTTTTAAAAAATTTTATTTATTTCTGTGGGG